GAGAGGCGATGTGTCCTCGGGTCGGATCATACGGCGACGAATAGTTGCTTTGGATCAGTGGGCTATGCATAATCTGGTGAGTTGCAACAGTCAAGAGATCGCTTCAGAGACTCCTTTTATGTGGAGAATGGCCTTACAGACTTCAGGTTGCTGTTCCCTTGGCGTCTGTGTTTCTCCATAAAATGTTTAAGATACCCATTAGCCCTGAAGAGATTCGAAAGCTGAACGATTGTACTTTTAGCACTTCTTCAGGGCAAGTCGATAACCTAACCTTTTTTTGACAAAAGCAGTCATCAAGCAAACAGATGACGACTAGAGGAACAGTAAATTGAAGTCCGAGGCTCTGTGGCCTGCATTAGAGGAGTCGTTGAAGCGGCTTTTCAACGGTTACACTCCATCTGGGCACTCTTATTGGTTTAAAGAGGGGCGTGGATGGACGCATGACGAGAGAGCATTATAGCCCGAGATAATGAAAGTTATTTTTGGTTGCGATTAACTGGCCTTCACTCGAAGCACAAGGCCACACGGATTAATATAACTTGTGCAGGCACGCATCCACAGAACCCACACGGTAAAAGCGAAAGAAGTCGGCATGTACGAATCAAAATCAAAGGGTTACTTAGAAACAAGGAGCGCCAAAGATGTAAAGTAAAAGTATAAAAGCGCGGAAGAGTGATCGAGTTCCCAGATGGCTAGGCCAAAATCATTAACAGAATCAATCTCAAGAGGGCCTGGTTGTTGACTTACTTGAGTCGATTAAAGGTGGGGACTGGCGAGAGGGTGATACTGAAGAGGAGGAGAGGGTGGTTGTGAGGTAATCGGGGAGGGCTGGCGACCACACTCGCAACGTAATCAATGTACCTAGTGAGAAGAACAGAGAAAATAATTGGTCAGAACCATGGAAGGGTGGAGAAGAGTGCGCGTTGGTTGGTTTTACATCACTTGACATTGCGGTAATGAGAAGTGCTGAGGACATGAAACGGTCTTGTAGCTTATTCAAGCGCAAAACAAAGTTAGGCGCTGTTCAATACCGAAGGAGTATGTTAGAAACTTGAGATAATTAGTAGTTCCACTAAGCAAAAACAAGGAACTCGTGCTACCAGAAATTATATAGACATACGACTCTTAAACTGTCATATCGATGACACGTTTTGTGGTACCTGCCGCATACTTCTTTCGGTTCGCCTTCCGGGTCCGGAGACGGGTAATGGCGAGTATAATGGACAAGAACTGGGCTACATTTGTTGCTAAAGCCACATTTTTGTGTACTTGGCAAATGCCAACTCCAAGAAGACCCCAATAACTTGGAACGTGACGAAAACAGCTGGGAATGTCTACACTGCCAAGAAGACTCAATCTCACAGAAAAGCATATGCGAGCGCGTCACACCGCTGCATACCAAGAACGCAAAGTGGACAGCGTCCGGCGTCGGCTGGGGTCACAATAGGATCTGATTGGTCCATGCCTACGAGAAGCTGACCGACCCTTCTCGAACGACATTTCAGGCACAGAAGGAAGGAATTAATCAGAATATCGATTTTTAAGTTAATTGCCTCTCGAAATTCATCTGGAAAAAGTACTACAATTTGAAGAGAAGCTGCAAGTCCAGGCTTGTTGGAACCATGATGATGGCCTTTGGCATGCGCTGTAGCGTTTGGAGACCCAGCTCAACAGCTGGAACAAATATGACATCAATGGTCCGTCCAGTAAACACAACGATGATTGCCATTACTCTGATGGATTATTGGGTTAGAGTGA